GGCAGTGCGAGCGGCGAGGCGGCCACGGCGGGCTCTCCCCCGCTCGCACGCGCACTCACGCCGCCCCGCTCGCACACGCTCGCCCGCTCGCACGCACTCGCTCCCTCACTCACGCTCCCATGCACTCGGGCAGAAAGGCAGCGCCGCACAACAGCCGGTACCTCCGCGCAGAGAGGCGGAGGCAGGGCCCGCGCGGAACACGGCCGCGGCTGTCGCAAAAACGTCGCGAAGCCTCCGGCTGCCTCCGGCCCTTCCTCCGGCCGGTGCCCGCCGAGGCTGGCTACCCCCGCTGGCACCCGCACCCCAGGGGCTGCGTCCCGGGAGCGAGGGAGCCGCTGCCCAAAGCGGCCGCCAAACGCACCACGTGGACCGGCACCTTCGGCGGCCGGGGCCCAGACTACAATGCCCAGAATGCAATGGCCGCCGCTGCCTCCGCCCCTTCTGCGACTCCGCCCCACGCGGTGGGCCTAGGGAGCGTTGCATGATGGGATTGGTAGTCCAAGTTGAGACGCGTTTCAGCCAGTTAGGGACACACACACGCACGCGCACACGCACACGCACGCGCGCGCACACACACACACACACACACACACACACACACACACACACACAGCGACATCGCTTGGGGCATAAAGTTAGCCAAAGATCCAAATATAGGGGAGATTAGTTAGTATTAGAATCACATTTTGTACCACTTAACGAACTCCAGATGTTTTGGGGACTATCATATGCTATTTGTAAACAGCTCACAGACTATGTATTGGGGTACTCCCGGCGTTCACAAGCTACCGAAGGGCTGCGCAACGGCATCAAGATACTGACACACATTACAAACATCAGTAAAAGCGAGTCCGTGATGAGTACAGCATTCGGCACTTACGCCTGTAACAACACCAATTTTTACTTATTATTACAGTCATGGATCTAAATCTATGGACATTGGTTTATGAATCACTTTAAGATACACAGATGTCTACAGGGATGCCAGTGTTTTGATAATATTCCCTCATTTTGTTTTACCCCTCTTATTTGCATGTCTGGTTTAGTTTTTTCATTTTCACTTTTTAGGGATTTCCACTAAAGCTCCCTAGTTTAATGGCAAAAATGCGCTTGCGTACTTTAAAACTTTCACAACACTTATTTTTCCTCACCTTTCCCGTAGTACTAGTCCAATTGTTTTGCCTTTTATTTTCTTTCCCTTGCTAGATTATAAATTCCAATAGGGAGCCATGTTTGCACCTTCCCTGACACCTAGTATCATGCCTTGATTGTGGTGCACGGTAAACATTTTTTAACTTAATGAGCCAATAAACATTTTATGTCAAAAATTGTCCATGCAGACGTTTTGCTAAGGCTGATGATAAAATTTTGTGGACAAAAATTCTCAAAAGTGCCTTCTTCTACATAAGTTTCCTTGGAGTAAATTAGTGACTTCACCACTGATTTAAAGTAAGTTATTTTTACCTAATATACTATTATTCAGTGATTAAGTATACTAATTCTGGATGAAGGTAAGAATTCTGTAAGGGAACTGAGTGTCCTGATTATGCATATTCTTGGGTCAAGAAAGGAACCTTGCACTGAGCTAAGGAAGAGAAAGTCCCGCTTTTCTCCTGAAGAAAGGGCTGTTTTTCTCTCTGAAGCTAGGTAAGAGCTAGGAATTCACGCTCCAGGTTGGACCAATATGGTGATATGGTGGTATGAGGTATGCCCGCGACGTGGTCTCTGGACGGGAAGTTACAGAGCCACTACAGCCCCCTACAGGACAGCCAATGCATTACGAGCAATAACGTCGAACTCTGCATCCAGTTTTGTTTCTTTTCCGCAGGGCATCTTCCTGCTGTGATCCCCAGCCTTTCTGCTGAGTCTTGGCGGTGGAGTCAGTGTCTGTGAGTGGAGGAGAAAGGAAATCAGCAGCCAGAAACTCCATGACGCAAGATCAGAAGTGGTCGCAGAGCTAAAGCAATGAACTGGGAAGGGATCATGGCACCTATTACTGTACAAATTTGAGTAGAATATGTGCCTAGAGTGGACTTCCTATAGATCGAAGGACGGAAGTTCGAACCTGTTATTTAAGTGAACTGAACGTATTAGAGACATGGAGTTGTCATTTCAATTTCAACTCGATTTTCAACCCCAGGTGATACTGAAGTCTTTTTTCTTTTTTCCTCCTTGGTGATTTCCCACCATGTTGTAGAGCCTGCGACCGGCATGGGTCCACGTTCCTGACCACGCCCCAATAATGCTCATAGCCATTTTGCATAAAATGTGACTTTATGTGTATTGTAAATTTAATATCTCCAGTGTTAACATGCTCATCAAAAATCAGCCTCTTATTTTAACTGCCTCCTGTACCATGAAGAGGATCTTCTGCTGCTATTCCAAACAAAATTTCTGAAACTGGACATAGCACCCTGTTCTCAGAACTTCTCGATTTCTATGACTGTCGATGCCAGCAGTCGTTCAGTTGATTCATGACCAGACCTCCTTCTTTCGGCCTTCCTACTTCGTGCGTATTTCACCTTTGCACTATTCTTCGGGCTGAGATGCTTCCTCATGCTATCTCTGACCTTTGCAGCCTTTCCCATCCTCCAAGATACAACTCAGATGCCCAACTTGCTTGTGAAACTTTTCCTGATTCTTGCAACTGAGTATGGCTTTTGTTGACTATGAACCTCCACCCCAGCCCTGGCGCCACTGCATTTTATGCCTAACCTACTTAGAAACATCACAGCTACCTTATAATTATTCATTTTATGCACTTCTTAAAAATCTGCCCTTTAATAAATGTAATGACTGAGTCTCTGCCTTAATTATCTCCATATGCCCTACAGTGCCAAGCACATAGTTTACATAATTATATTTAATCAGAATGTGTCCCATTAGATTGATTTCTTTAAAGGTTAAAGAGGACCTTACTACTGATAAAAGTAGGGCACAGTCATTTAAAACGCTTCGCACCTTGCCTCCAAATGTGTGCTTTTTGCAACAGGACTCGGTGCTTAGCGACGTGTTAATGCAAAAACCCAAGTAGACCTCACAGCTGATCGTTTCCACTCTTTATAATTTTGACTTCCACTTTCCCACTCGATACTACAGCATGCTCTCAATGGAAGGTGTCCACCCTTCCACTCAGCAGTTGCCATGTTCATCATCTTCATTGTCAAAAAGCACGTATGGAGCAGCTACCTGTGAGCACAGTGCTAGGCACAAGAAAGGGCAAATTAGACTATCTCCAGCCTTTTGCTTTTTAAAGGAAAGGTTTCATTTGGCACGTGTCGCATTTTAATTTTTCAAGGGAAATACTGATGCAAAAGTTGCTGAATGAATTCCATGAACATCCAGAGCATAATTTTGATCCTAGAAATAACCAAAGACTCAAACAAGCAAACAAAAAACCACCGCACTTTCAAACATCACTTATGAACTGGGCGCGGTGGCGCATGCCCATAATCCCAGCACTCGGAAGGCTGAGGCAGGAGGATCGTTTGGGGTTAGAGGCCAGCCTGGACTGCACAGGGAGACTGTTGCAAGAAGACCGAAGAAAAGAAAAAATCACTTACTTTTTACCAGTCATCAGGTGAGCATCATTGGCTCTTGTAGACTCATTTATGGAAGCACAACCACTAGCAGTTGCTGAAGTTTATATTAGACAACTTTATATTAGAAACTGTTTCTCAATTCCAGCTCTGAAAATTACAGGAAGGCCATGTCCGCCTGGGTCAAACCTATTCTGGGCCAACCAAATGGGGTCACAGGGACAGGGAAATGTAAGAATATGAGAGTTCCTTCGTCAGAAGAGATAGGAGATGTAGGGTAGAGAGATTGCAGGAACAGGAAGAAGCTCTAAGTATTCTAAAGGTAATAAAATAGGGCAATGTGACGGAAAGTGGGACCAGGAGATATTACTTCAGGTTGTAGATGGCCAGTGTCTCTCGAGGAGTGACGCTTAACCTAAGACCTGAATGTTGGGGAGGAAAACCTGGTAAAAGAAGAGAACAGAGTGGTCCAAGCATATCAGACACAAAGCAAGCGCAGAGGTTTTCAGCCAGAATGGAGGCACAAAAGTTTGTGTGACAGAAGTATTATGGGCAAAGGGGAAGTCGTAAGAACTGAGCACAAAGAGGAGACAGGGTCCAGATCGTATAAGACCTTTCAGACCACAGTAAGAGGTTTAGGTTTTATTTTTAGACCAATGGGAAACCATGGAAAGTTACGGAGAGAGAAGTGACCGGACATAATTTGTGCTTTCAAAGGGAGATCCCACGTGAGAGGGGGAGGCCGGGGTGTGAGTACCAACATGCAATTACAGAGAAGGAAGGAGTTCTGCTCTATAGCGCATCAGGGTGGCCACAGTTTACAATAATTCGCTATGTATTTTCTAAAGAACTAGAAGACAGGGATTTAGAAGTTCTCAATCCTAGGCAGGCATGGTGGCGCATGTCTGTAATTCCAGCACTCTAGGAGGCTGATACAGGAGGATAGCATGTTCCAGCTCAGTCTTGGCAAGTTAGTGAGACTCTGTCTCAAAAAATAAAAAAAGGCCCTCAGTGTAGCTCAGTGCAAAGGCCCTGTATTCAATCTTTCTCAGTACTGAAAAAAATTTTTTCCAACAAAGAAATGATCGGCTTATTTCCCCTTTCTCTCTTCTTCGCCCCTAACCCTTGTTCCCTTGGATCACTTCCCTATTGCAAAAGATCCATCCAATGACCCTTTCTACCCGTCCAATACCATAGTTTTTGTTTGTATATTTTCTCATTCAAGTGAGAGATATCATATGGTGTTTACCCTTGTGTGTCTGATTTATTTCACTCAACATTATGTTTTCCATGTGCTTCCATTTCCCTACAAATGTCTTAAATTTGTTACTTTTCATAGCCAAGTAGTATTCTGTTACATATAGATACCACGTTTTGTTTATCCAGTCTTCTGTCAGTGGGTGTACAGACGGCTTCTGGGATTTAGCTGTTACAAATTGTGCTGCTATAAACATTGGTATGCAAGCATCACTGTAATATGATGATTAAGCTCTTTGGGGAGGATACCTAGTGGGGGGATAGTTGGGTGAGGAGGAGAAGAGGAAATAATAAGAAGAAAAATATGCCATATATAGGAACCTAACAACCCTAATTAATGTAAATATTATGTGCCATAACATGCACTAGGGCAAATAATATCAACAAGTATGAAAAAGGTGATAGGGGGACTGGTGGGGAAGCAGGTGGCGGAGGGGAAGGAAAGTGGATTTAAAAAAAAAGACACAGGCTGTATAATATGTACACATAAATACTCCCAAGATGATTGGGAGTCTGCACTGCAAATGTGCACTAATAAAAAGTGAATAAAAATTTTTAAACATGATCAATGTTTAGGGCGATATAGTATTACCTTAATTTGACCATTACACTATATATAAAATCATCACACTATGTCCCACAAATAGGTATAATTACATGCCAATTTTTTTTGTTGTTGTTATTTTTCTTCCAGTACTGGGAATCGAACTCATGACCTTGCGCTTGCCAGGCAAGCACTGTGCCGCTGAGCTAACTCCCCAGCCCCACCAATGTTTAAACAAAAAGAAAAAAGATGATCCTGGCTGCTATGTGAAGAATGGATTTTCAGAAAAAAAGACAGAGATAGAAGTGGGGGAGATGGTAGGACCTGCTGATCAGTTGGAAGAGAAATAAAAAGCAGTTATCAAGACAACTGCTGAAGATGATATCTCTTACTGAGATGGGGATGATTTTGAGAGAGATAAGAGAGAGGAGGGGAGAGAAGGCAGGAATTTCATTTTGGAGGTGTCAAACATGAGCTATCTCAGGAATCTAAGAGAACATGCCTAGTGGGCAGCTGATTAGGATTAGGGCTGGAATTAAGAATTTAGAAGTCAGCAGCTCGAAGAGTTGATGAGATCACTCACAAAGCGTGTTATAGTGAGGAAAGAAGGAGATCCCCAAGGACCTCCAACGTTCAAAGGCTGAGTAGAGGGAAACCCAGAAGAAAGACTGACAGGAAGAGCCCAGAAGACCATGTGGCAAAGCAGATTATATGGTGTCACAAAATCCAAGTGAGGAATATGCTCTGGAAAGGATGGATTGTAATGCTGAACACTTGCAAGAAGTCAAGCAAGATAAAAGTATTACTGTCAAATTTATCACAGTATTCCTCAACCTCTTTTAAAATGATTTCCCCCCAAGAAACATTTTTAGAGTTTTTTGCCCCTAACTGTCCACTTCCACACAGTGTTAATACCACAGATAATCTGTACGTCTATTTTTATACTGAGGGACTTTGGAAGGTCACAAGCCATTGTAATAACTCAAGATTTTTAAAGAACCGGCCTTTGCCGCCCCACGGGTGACACTGTCCCGCTGATTTACTGACATGCAGTCGACTGTTAACACTGACAAGAGTAACGGTGTTGTAGTGGTGAATGGGAGGTTGAAGCTCGCTTGTGTTGGATTGAAAAGTTTGAATTAAGGCAAAGGAACAAGGAAGGAAGGTCCACTTACAGCAGAATGGTTGAGAGAACCACCGCTGTAACCAGGCCTGTGGGCTCTGTGCTTGAACCTGCTCCTGCCTTAACAGGACAAGCTGTATTATTTAATTGCGTCTCAGTTTTCTTCTTTGTAAAAGTAGAATTCCAGGAGTAGTAGTTGGTCCTTGGGAAGGTTAAGCGAGGTTGCGGGTAAACCATTTAGCATGGTGCCCGGCACACAGCAAGTGTTCAGGACATGTTAGCTGTTATTCTTCTCATTCACAACAGTCGCTCTGGTGGGCATTTGAAAGACAAGGCCTACACCATGTAATTCAAAATCAAAGAGGAGGCAATGTGGACATGAGGCTGAAGGAAACATTAGTTGGGGGAGATGAAGGTATTTCACTGTTGATCCCATGGAACCAGTTGCAAAGGAAATACTGAGGATA